TTTATATTATATTTTTTATATTTTTTTTTTTTTTTTTTTTTTTTATTTTATGGTGATTTACGGTTTTTTATTTTTTTTTATTTTTTCCCCTGTGCTTGTAAAGAAAGGCCAGCACTAGCCATGTATCTTAACAAACATGCCTGCTGTGTATGCACACCTCCAAGGCTTTTTACTCACCAAGGAAACCAAATTATACATCTGAGGCAGACTGGTCGTTCTTCGTGCCATGACTGTTAAAAATTCACTTTTTTTTTTTTTTTTTTGTGTAAAAGTTTTTAAACCATTGGCCAGGTAAAGTTTGGTGAGTGTCGATTTAGCAGCGGTGTTGACGACTGATATGCTGATCTTTCATAACTTATAAATTATATTTACTTTAAAAAAAAAATATCCATTAAATATCTGACACCAAGTAAGCTTGCTGCGATCGGCACTTGGATCATGTCTTATCCTTCACACTGCCTCCTCTTACCCCCCCTCCCACTCCATGCTCGCCACCCTCCACTATTGAGGCAGAAAAAAAAAATACAGCAGGAATTTTGAAACTGAGAATACAGAAATATGCAACAAACACTGAAGCCGAAATTACACTCAGAGGGGAGGTAGATCTAGCCCTGTGAAACAGTCGGCTTTAAATGGAGTCTGTGTTGGGAGCAGCATAGTACACAAGTCTCCCTCTGCGAGGCTGTCACAGTGGGACATGTTTCACAGAACAAGCAAGGAAAATGAACTCTTAAAGATACACAGCCTAATTTTGTCCTTATTCATAATATCTTCTGATAAAGCCCCAGTTAACACAATACAGTGAGTGACAGGTTTAAAAATATTAGTGATCAAAAGAAAGAAATTGGTGGAGAGATGGGAAATTGCAGTGACCTTAGCTAAATGACTGCAGGCTTCACATGGAAGTAGGATGCAGTGTTTGTGATAACCTGATGTTGTTTTTAGAAAAAATGTACTCCAAGACACCCATTCCACTATTTTAAATGTACTTAGAAATGCAAAAGATTACAAATAAATATTGCTTTTCAGGGTTTTATTCACAGTAAGGTGTAATAGTGAAGCTTTACTTGTGTTTGTCGGCGGTGAGCTGCTCCACTGCACATTATATTATAGTATTTTTTTGTGGTTAATGTTCACTTTGCTGGGAGTCTTGAACTATATCGTCTTATCAATACTTGGATAAACAACTCAAACCTGGCTCAAATTCTGGCTCTTTTTATGCAGTAACATTTGACTTTCCCTCAGTGGCTAACTATATCCGTCTTTACACCGGATACCTGATTCAGTGCATTGATGTAACATTGTTTAAAGGTAACTTAGTGTCATGTTTGA